AATATAACTGCTATTTTACTATACCTTTTATATAAAATGTAACAGCTGTCATGAGATGTAATCATCGATAATATGTATTGTTTGTCACTGTAAAGCATCTAATAAAATAAAGTGCTTATTTCTGGTGTCTATCTCGTAATTTTACCCAGGTCTTTTATTCAAAAATTGTCCAGCCACATGTATGATCTTCGCTTTTCTTCTTACCAGTACTTATTTTGTCATTTAAATCCTCGCTTTGCGGGATTTACTTAGTAAAGTTAGTTCAAAATAAAGTAACAATAATAAATAATCGATGTTAAAGTAAATAAATAAATAATATTGGGTTTTTAATCCTTACCCTAATCCTGATTTATAAATAACTTAACTAAAATGTATAATTCACTTACCTAATGTAGTTCGTAAATAACAGTTGTTGTTTATGAAACTGATAATACATGTATATAACGCTTAGACCACCACTATTTCTGTAGTATTCTAGCCGCCCTGATGAGTCTTGGCATTTAGCGGAAGGCCTCGTCGGCACTGGATATAACAGATATAGAGTAGTTTGCAAATTGTTATACATACCTCTTTGATTTCACTCATACATTCTTAGCATTACTGTTAAATTTTTATGCTCAAGAACACCAGACTGTGAATGTAATGAATGAGATGAAAAACTGATGGCAGTAACAGTGCCACATATGGAATGAATCAGACGAGAAACTGTTGGGAGTAATAATGCCATACATGGAATGAATGAGATGAAAAACTGTTGGCAGTAATAGTGCCACATATGAGCTCAAGAACACCACACTGTGAGTGGAAAGAATGAGATGAGAAAATTATGGCAGTAATATTGCCATATATAGAATGAATGAGATGAAAAACTGATGGCAGTAATAATGCCATATATGGAATGAATGAGATGAGAAACTGTTGGCAGTAATAATGCCATATATGGAATGAATGAGATGAGAAACTGATGGCAGTAATCGTACCACATATGAGCTCAAAAACACCACACTGTGAGTGGAAAGAATGAGATGAGAAAATTATGGCAGTAACAGTGCCACATATGGAATGAATGAGATGAGTAACTGATGACAGTAATAGTGCCATATATGGAAGGAATGAGATTGGCAGTAATATTGCCATATATGGAATGAACGAGATTGGCGGTAATATTGCCATATATGGAATCAATGAGATGAGAAACTGATGGCAGTAATAGTGCCATATATAGAATGTATGAGACGAGAAACTAATAGCAGTAATAGTGTCACGTATAAGACAATATGTTACTTCTTACAAGAACGTCAGGGTTCGAACTGAAAAGCATGTGAACGAGGAGAAACAGAAGTAACTATCTTTATGAAACTAGACCACCACCTAGGTTTTAACTCTGGAAAACAAGAACTCCACCAAAATTGAAAGAACAGTAATACTTATTTTAACAATTCACCAAGCTTTTCAGAATCGGTAAAGTATGCACTAAAGAATAAAATTTTATGTTGAAGTCGCTCGACTGGCTTTGGCACGAAACAGTTTATTGTGATTCGAAATTGTCTAGGTAAATATTTTTGATATTTTATTACCAAACACATTGTTCGGGTATTTTCTGAAAGAATCCGTAAAATTGGTCATACAATTACAAACAATGGTCTTAAACAACCCATAAACCACATAGGTTTAGAGACTCGGTGAAAAAAGGGTTATATTTCATGATAGAGTTATGGTAGAATGCACTACTGGTGTTTACGTGTGAACAAAGACGTCTATGTGATTATTCCCAAGAAGAACGGTAAGATCAAAGTGTTTGAATAATGTACTGATATGTTTTGTTGAGATATCCAGCAAAGCTACAAAAGCGATATCTGTGCTAGCCATCCCTTATTTTTTCAGTTTGATGATGTCAGAAAAACACGAAGGTTCAAGAAGTCTTGATACAAGATGATAAAAACCGTATAACCTGATCGCTTTCGAAAGGTGGAGCTTTTTTTTTTATTTTTTTTTTTTAATAAAAGAGTGCAATCTTTTTA